ATGGTCGAGAATATACTCAGGTGTCCTTTTATATTTTAGATAGCAAGGCGCAGATGGCTGAGTTTATTAAACTCCACCGAAACAATCTGCAAATTTCATTAAAATTTAATAAACTATCATCTTGGCTTTTTTTTTAGTTAGCACATACCTTAACCTCTTAAGCCCCAAGGGGGTTTCTGAGCTTCCTGCTCGAAAATGTAATGCCCAAATCTAATTAATTATTTCTCTGCAATTACAAACTCTGTCCTTACAATCCTGGTATCAAAATAAAGCTAACACTTGTGAGATTTCATCAGCGGTGTAAATATTGAAGCAGATATTACTGTGTCACAGTTACTGAGACTGGAACACAGAAAAAGTAAGTATATTTTATCCTTGCCTAATTTTTTTTTTTTAATTTTTAGCATATAACCTAGGGCTGCTCGATTATGGCAAAAATGATAATCACGATTATTTTCACTGAAATTGAGATCTCGATTATTTGACGATATTTATTTAACCCTTTAAGACCTACCATAGAAACAAGTCCGCCAGAGCTTATACATATATTTTTTTACATGCTGTAGTGCCATTTTTGGGAGTATTTCAAGTTGCTATACATCAATGCAACTGTTATAGCCCATATTTTAATAATATGTATGCATTAAGTCCATAGTAATTACATTAATTGCAAAAAAGTGCAATAAACTACAAAAAAATTGAAAATCGTTTTTGTTTTTACATATATTTCTACTTGGAGAAATTTAAGAGGCTTATCCCTCAAAACTTTAAATACAAAAAAGTTGCAAAAAATAGTTTCCCACCACAGGAAATTTATTTTGAGTGTCTTCATAGTTTTATTTTGGAGATACAGCCAATTTTTATATACTGCAGGAAAAACAAAAAACAATCCTATGATGCAAATTTGCAAAGAAAACAGCAGGTGCATCAAAATAAACTATTTCCAGCAGTGCAATTCGAGTTCTAAGCATCCCAGAACTATTCAGAAAAGTCAAACATGACTTATAGAAAACACCAGTATAGGCTTTTAAGGCCTACAAGTAAAAAACTACATTTTCCGCGAAAATGACGTCACTTCCGGTTTCGGGCAGGAAATGGCGGACATGCGATAGTTCGCTGACGTCTTGTTTCACTGTGGGAAGTGTTACGAACAGCTGATCGGATCGGCAAAGCGTGTTTCTGGAATATTATGTTTTTGTTCCTGCAAGGCTTTTTATGCAGATTTTTGCAAAGCTTTATGTGGAAGGAAACCGTGACCGAGGACAAGCTGATGGCATAAGATGTAAGTACAACCCCCCCCCCCCCCCCCCCCCCCCCCCCCCCCCCCCCCCCCCCCCCCCCCATCCGGTTTCATATGCAAAACAAATTATTGCGCTAGCTTACGCGGTTCCGGTTCTACAGGGATTTAAAGGGTTAACAATAACAATGTATTGAATAATGACTTTAAAAAATAATATAAAATAGTGTGCAAATACTGATAACAGTGCAAATGTTTGCAATATAAAAATAAATGAAAAATGTAAACATCTATGTTTAGTGAACTTTGCAGTGTTGCTCTGTGGTGCAGCTACGACACCGTAGCAAAGTTTACACACTATGTCTACTTGATCCACGTCTGACTCCGCGAACCCATAATGTTTCCACACCACTGAAGTTTTTTTTTTTTACCTCTCTTTTCAACCAACGGCAGTCACTCTCCTCTCCAAATAACTTCTGCTTAGCTTTCCGAGCTTCCCTCGGGTCCTCTTAATTGTTGTGACCGTGTTCGAAATGCAGAGAGGTGCGCTCGATTTGCCACACGGAGCAGCGCGAGAGTAAAGCACGAGGGAGGGGCTAATAATCGGCTCAGTCATTTTTAATGATCGTTGAAAGCCCAGATCGTAATCGTGATTAAAATTCGATTAATTGAGCAGCCCTAATATAACCCTTTTAAAAATATGCCTCAGATCACATTTGGTTCCAGGATTTCAGTAACCAACATATAAACATCATCTGTGCAAAGATTTATGTTTCTAAAGTGAAACAGTGAAAAATTACAGCCCTGTCAATACATGAATATCCAGACGTTGTACAAAAATGTCCAATTTTGGCACACAATTGGACACCATGCCAGTTGAATTTTTTAGGTATTAAAGAGCAGAAATTAATAAATTTTATTAACAGGCCTAAAAATGCTTTTTTTAAAATATATTTTTGAAGAATTAACCACACATTTACATGGTAATGGCCCTTTTCTGCAGTGCGCATGAAGCGTTTAATTGGTCTCTGGCCCTTTAAACTCCGAGGGGCTGTAACTTTGGTTTCTTTTGGTCAATTTGCATGATTGACACCTCTTTTTAATCGTTTTAGCCAATAGAATCAAAGTAACGATGCCACGTTCACGTCACTTCAATCAATCAGACGTTGTCTGTGAAGGTTCTCAGTCATCCAGGTCATTGTAGTTAAAGGAGCTTGCAAAGCTCCTTTTCTTTGCTCCTTTTCTTTGCAAGCTCCTTTGACCAATCAGACGTTGAATGCCAAAATCCCATGTGGGCCCAAATTTACTGCATGTGGCTGTCTGTCCAGTCACGTGTCTGTAGGTGGGTCTAAAATGGAGGTTGTTGACTGAAAACGGCTCTGATGCAGCTAGGTAGGCAGTGGTAACTACTGATAATCACGGCTACAGGCTACCGGCTACTGGAAATTAACAGAGGAAATTGGGACCGTAAGCCAATCTCTGTCTTAGCGCATTTGTGTCGCTATGTGTTTTTGTGGTCTTCTTTTGCGGCTCATTCAGTGAATTTTGGTCTGATCGTGGTGAAACTTGGTGTGTGGAGTCAGTGATAGCTCTGGAGGCTAACCAGCCTATCTTTAGCCGGTTACATGAAGTCTGGAGAATTTCCGGTTTGATTTTGTTTGTTTGGCGGTCTTCTGCACATTTACGTAACTGCTCTTTTAATCATGGCTTGTTTTCCATGTGTTTGGTGGTTGTAGAAATTGGTTATATGACATTTTAGCTGAGATTCAGAGGTTTCTGTGGATACCACACATGTCTGGACTTATATTTCTCACCCCGTGTTATAACCGATTAAATGTGATCTCCTCCTTTTTGCCCCCGGTACCGGGGGCGTGGGGCTTAAAGCTGTAAACTAATAATAGTTATATAAGAGCAGATGCATGCTGGTGTAATAAGCTGTACGTTGTACATCCAATGGATGTTGAAAAGGCTCTGGAGGTCCCTGTATTAAGCACGTAAACCTGTGACACAAAAATCACCAAACTCGGACCACCACAGACTGTTTTCCATCGTGGTGATGAATAAAATGCTGGGCTGGCATGTAAAAGGGCATTTATTCCCTTCAAGGACCTGAAGCTCCATAAAGCACCCCTCCATTAGCCAAACCCATCTGTTCTCCAATTGGATTGTTAAATTTGTGATTGATATGACATTGGCCAATCAGATGAAATGAAGAAAAATAGGGTCAAAATTCGTACTTGTAACTTGAAACTTGAGTGCAGAGTTTCACACGTATTTTTTGGCTAACTCCACACACAAATTCTTTTTACACATACAAATCTTTTTTATGCACACACAAATTCTTTTTACACATACACATCTTTATTAAGCACACACAAATTCTTTTTACAAATACACATCTTTATTACACACGCACAAATTCTTTTTACACACAAATCTTTTTTACACACACACAAATTCTTTTTACACACAAATCTTTTTTACACACACACAAATTCTTTTTACACATACAAAACTTTTTTACACACACACAAATTATCTTTACACATACAAATCCTGATTTACAAGTACAAAATATTTATGACCACAATTTGAGCCCATAGTTTTAAGTCTGCACTTCTGACTTGATGAGAGTGGGTCTTGTGCTATGTCATCTAAAATCTGTCATTTTATTTGGACACATGGCATGCCCATCAACTCTTTTGGGTTAAATATTCAAAGAGGTCTTGAAAATGGAACAATATAGCAATTTGGTTACAGTTGCAGGATTCATTTTAGCAGTCAAAATGCCAATCGCCTGATCCCTGCTTGTCTGTGGCAGTCAAGGCATTAGGGATAGGGTTTGGACTCAGGGGTTAGGGCTTTATATTGGACTATTGATCACACCATATCGACATAACTTTGCCCTGCTAGTCTGCTCACCTGAAATGAACTACTTTTTCATTGCTGTTAATTGTTTTGCTGCATTTGTTGTATGTATGAATAATACTAATAAATTAGTACTTGTGTTGGACCAATGAGACTATGAGTTAAGCAAGACATTTTGAGGAAGTCAGTGCATTTCAGACTGATGACATTAAAATACCACAATGACACAGAACATACGGGGGCGTGGGGGAGCATTTTAGTTTATCACTTTTGTGGTGATGATTGCATTATTTAGCTTGGAACTTTTGTTAGAGCTCATCAAACAACGTGAGGCAGCACACCCTCATGTTACAAAATCAACCATTATGTCCACAAGACCGTTAGATGTCATATGTGACTTAGAGTGGGTTTAAAAAATCGATTTCCCCGATTCAAATTGATTTTAGTTCTTAAATAATGCAATATCGATTCAATAAATCCTGAATTGATTAAATGAACAAAAATATAAGAAATATAAAAAAAACACCCAGCACGCCCCTGCGGGCGGTTTATCCTTCAAGCTCGGGTCCTCTACCAGAGGCCTGGGAGTTTGAGGGTCCTGCGCAGTATCTTAGCTGTTCCCAGGACTGCGCTCTTCTGGACAGAGATCTCCGATGTTATTCCCGGGATCTGCTGGAGCCACTCGCCTAGCTTGGGAGTCACCGCACCTAGTGCTCCGATTACCACGGGGACCATGATGGTTCCTCGTCTCCCTCCTCTTTCTTGGGTTTCTGCTGCCTGAGGTATTCACTGAGCACTCGGTCAGTTGGGGCCATCTTCCCAATGTATTCTTGGATGTTCCTTGTCTCATCCTGGACTGTGGTGCTGACACTCACCAGTCCCCGGCCCCCTTCCTTCCGCTTAGCGTACAGCCTCAGGGTGCTGGACTTGGGGTGAAACCCGAGAAGAAACAATAGACGTTCGTCTTTTATATATGCTATATATATATATATATATATATATACACACACACACACACGTACACCTGGGAAACGAAAGCTGCTCACTCACAGCAGCGCCATTGATGGTAATGGGGACATTTGCTTCTCTACACCTTCAGAAGTCCACTATCATCTCTTTTGTCTTTGTGACGTTAAGGATGAGATGATTCTTTTCGCACCTTGTAAGCTGCCTCATCACCTTTGGTGATAAGACCCATCACTGTTGTGTTGTCCACAAAACCTGAAACAATGAAATTGGAGTTGTTAGTGGCCGTGCAGTTGTGGTGTAGCGTGAGTACAGGAGAGGGCCCAGTACACACCCCTGTGGAGCACCAGTTTTCATTATGACTGGGGATAAGGTGATGCTGCCCAGTCTGACCACCTGGTGTCTGTCAGACAGGAAGTTAAGGATCCAGCTGCAGAGAGAGCTGCTCAATCCTAGATCCTGCAGTTTCATGTCCACCCTTTAGGGAACAATGGTATCCTTACTGGATAATAATTAACACACTCTATGAATGGAAAGAGTTGTAGATGTTGTAGTTGTAGATGAATCTGAAACCAATTTGGGCCAGCTGAAAAATTCTGTGATAATTCCATTATGATTTAAATTCTAAGACTAGTATAGAAAGTGAATTCCCATCAATTTCCATCTCTACATCTATTCAAAAACAACCTTGACCTTTTCAGTAACGTGAAATTTTGTGGTTTCTGTAATATCATGATATTTTATCTCGCATTAAACTTTACTCCCCTAAGCTTTAATATTATATCAAACTCACCAGGTAGATGTGTCAATTAAACAGTGTTTACTGTCTAATGGACACGTTTTGTTAACAAAATAATTATATATTGCTGCCTTATTGGGTTCTATATCTGTCACTTTTGCATTTAGCATGTTTTTGTTTTTTGTTTTTGTTCTCCAGGTTTCTGCTCCAGGATTTTTGTTTGACAGTGACAGCATCTATTTTTACATTTTCAGCATAGAGACATTACACTGATAATCACTGGAATGATGGGAGTTCCTGCATCCTGTGTGGTGGTGCTAACATTCATTCTTTACAGCCACAGTTTGAAAATACAAAGTACTCTGCATGTGTCTAAAAGGTAAAAATATACACATATTGTTTTATTTTTTGTCTAGCTACAGCCTTACTAGGCTGTTAAAGCAACTTTAATTATAAAAACACAAAAATGTATGGATTGGTATATGATATGGTATGCTGGTTCTTGTTTTGATGTGTTTTTGGTGTAATTGAACATGTTATTAATAATTGATTTTGTCTGTATTACTGAAGTTCTCAGGAAAATGTTCTGAATCCCAGTAAATGTGTGTCCAGGACTAATCAGCAGCAGATAATAGCAAATCCATACAACTTCTCTGTGGATCTTCGCATGCCTGGTGTTATCCCAACTGGGGTAAGTGTGTTTCCACTCAATGTTGGTGTGTGTCTATCAGTAGGGATGTGCAATATGACCAAAATCACATATCCCGATATAAAACATCCATCGTCCCGATAACGATATAAATCACAAAAATATAAAATTTTCTGTATATTCTGTGAATCTCGGGCAGCTCGACTTGCGTGAAGTGTTTCCAGCTGGGCGTCTTGTACCTGGAGTCTAATGTTTTAACCGATACATGAAACTATACCTTCTCAAACATAAGTTGTAATGGCCGCCGTTTTCTTTGTGAGTATTTATTACACGGCGTGCTGCAGGGAAAAGCCTGTTCTAACATTTGACTCTAAGGTTTATTTTTTAGCACCTGGCGGCTCTTTTTTGCGTCTCATCTGTAAACACTCTTCATACTCTTTCACGTGATTCAGTTTATTTTGAAAAGTCTCAACAGGATCTTGAGCTTTATTGTGAAAGGTTTATGTGGAAAATAAACAAGCGGACATGCGGTGGTTTTACGGTCGTTGTTGCTAACTTGTTGTGCTTGTCCGTCCATAGTGTGGTTATATTAAATATAAGAGAAAGAAAGAACTTTAAGAAATTAATATAGCCACTACAGTGACCATCAAAACGATGAAAAAATATTGCCGTGAACTGTTTATTTTGCGACACCATGAAGCAAACGATAGCGTAAAATGAAACGATAGATGTTTTTATATCGTCATCCAATATATATCGTTATATCGAACAGCCCTATCTATCAGTTGTTTGTTTCAGAAGTTTATGCGCACTTATCAAGGGTATGAATGCCATGGTAATTTGGGGCTTATAATTAGTTGTTTGACCTGTTCTTTTAAATAAAGTAGAATGATTGTATAGCTTATATAGTTAATGACTTTAAAATAAAAGAATTTAGTGCACAAGTTTAATTTTTAAAACATGATTTTTCTTTGTCCACACATTTAATACATGCAGGCTCAAATATATTTATATATACGCCCAGTAATATTCAGTGTCCTTAAACAAGTTGTAGGTTAACCAAATGCTTTTGGTAGCCATTAACAAGTTTCTGGCACAACTCTGGATGGATACATGATCACCTTTCTGCTTTTGTGACCTTTGCCAGCACCATCTTACCCTTCCGACCATACACAAACATCACACGAGGAAGACAGGTCAGAGAGGTATAACAATGGAAAATGCACAACATGAGGAAAGATGAGGATGAAAAAGAACTCCCCCCAGACTGAGCTCCAACAGGGAGATCAGTTTGAGAACAGAAAAAAAACGTCTCAGCACTAGGGCTGCCACAAACAATTATTTCGATAGTCGACTAGTCACCAATTATTTTTGCGATTAGTCAGCTTGAAGTGTTTAAGGTATGTGCTAACTAAAAATAAAGACAAGATGATAGTTTATTAAATTTTAATGAAATTTGCGGGTTGTTTCAGTGAAGTTCAATAAACTCAGCCGTCTGCTCCTTGCTACACAGTAAAAAACAGAGTGTCAATTTTACACTTACAGAGTTGATTTTAACTCTGCTTCAGATAACATTTGGTCCCACTCAAAATTAGAGTAAAATTTACTCTATGGCCAGTGTTAACTTTTTAGTGTTAATTCTACTCAGTTTAGTGTCAAAATTAACAACAAAATGTGTAAAAATATTTAACACTGAGGGTTATTCACACTGTTTAGAGTAATATGATTTCACTTTATAGAGTTATTTTTAGTCCAAGTTCACTCTAGTGTGTAATAGTATTTCATTTTCATTATTTTTTCATATTTATCATATGATGCTATATTTCTAAATGGCTGTGATCTATCCTATATTATGAAAATAACTACAAACATACAGGTTACAGTAACAGCATTTATTAGCATAACAAACTCTTACAAATGACAGTAGCTATTATGCTCACCAGAGAAAGCAATATGGGACCACAAAGAGAGCGTTGTCATTCACTCCATACGACAATTGTATGTCAAAAGGCCTGGGATAATGCAGGCTGTCAACATGAAAGACAACTAAATCTTGCTTTGTCCTGGTCAACTCATAAGCGTGGAAATGTTCTTGAAAGGCTACTGTACATAATGGCAAAGTGAGAAGTACCAGTTTCTCATGTATTATCAGAACTGACTCAATCTGGTAAAACACAGGCATTTCAGACACTACTTTGCCACAAATAACCAAATGTGGGCGGTAAACAATACCATTCTGTTTAGCCCAGTTCACTTTCATAACTTGAACTCTATTTGGCAGTTGCATTGCTATTGCAATTCCAGAACCTCCTTTTACCATATCTAAAGACACCATTTTTCCTGGACCAATGTCTAACCGACTAAAGGTTGTTGAAGATTGCCAAATGTATGCCATATAATCCTGGTGTTTTTTGGCCAGCGTTTTGGTGATATTTTTGAATGATTTGAGCTGTTTCTTGAAAAAATTGTGCTTACCTTCATAGCACATGCACCAACTATGAAGTACAAGCCCTATTTTTTTGGATGCAGCGAGGATAATGGATAAGAAAATGGTGCTTTGGTAAAAGTTTTTTCTGGGGATACAACATCTTGAACAGTGTTCCACAATCAAATGTTTTAAATATACACACATACCTTGAGATAACATAGTTAACATTGTATTTTCTCCTATCTGTAGTAATAAAAGTAGTAGGTCCCAATGTTGGTCAGTAGAGGTTACCAAATCTCCAAACATGAGGGGAACATTCCTCAGTAAGCATCATGTCTGAATAGCATTCAGTCCCAGATCATTAGACTCTCCACCTAAATTCACAGCTACTGGCCTATTGTTTTTCTCCATGAATCCATAATCAAAACTTTGTATTCTCAAATTCAGTTCTCCCAATGTAAGATGTTGTTCTTTTAAATACAAAAACAATAACTTCAGTTCGTACTGGGCCACTCCTTCCAAAACATCATGCATCACATCAACTGAGAAGTTCTCAGTTGTGTGAAAATATGTAGCCACTTCTTGTTCTTCGATAAGCCAGGTCCGAGACAGCTCCAATCAACCAGAACTCTGTTATTATAGTTCCGAATTGGTAGATCTCATTCAATGTCCTCCATCGAGAGTGTCACAAGACACACGACGCAACCGACCATCGGGTATCCGGCAGCAAACGTCTCTGCAGGACAATTAGGCTCTCCCAAGCCTAGGAGTTGTCAGTTCCATTAAGGGACCAGTTGAGCAAATCCATAATTCTTCTTTAGGTTTTTAGAGAGTCTGGAAGACTCTCTTAGGGATAGAGAATACGCGAGACTATACAAAAGACATGAGATGCCAAGCGTGAAAGATAAGGGAGAGGGAGAAGGAGAAAGTGCGACTGCCTTCATCAAGAGCCAAGAGAGAAATTTTGCCCCAGAGACAACAGATGTATCCCCTAATGGGATACATCACTAAAGGTGGTTGAGAATAATGGGGCTAAGGTCCTGAAGGGCTTCCAGACAGGCAGATCTGGTTGGCCACCAACCAGACACAGTGTTGGTTGACAAGGAATAGAAGACCACAGTTGTGATACATGTGGTAGTCCCAAGGGACAGCAACATCAGCCAGAAGGAACACAAGAAAATAGAGAAGTGCCAGGGTTGAGTGAATAACTGAAGCAGATCTGGAAGGTAAAATCCACAGTGTTCCTTAATAATAGAAGAATTGAGGGCTCTAACCCCGAAACTGGAAGATTGGCTCAAGCAGATTTCAGGCACAACAAAGGTCATTATAAAGAATTACACAATTAGTACTGTGCCAAAGCCTCAAACTTTCAGGCATCTGGTAGAGCACCCATGCTTGAGAAACATATCACCCCCCCTCAGAGTGAAAGGGTTTGATTTATTTATTTATTTTTAAAATACTGATTAAGGCATACTAGATGATATATAGCCACCTGCGATGCATCTACTGAGCTGACAATGTGGCCAGACTAAAAGTAGTCACCCAACCAAGAGCACAACTGCCCCAACTCACTCACAATGTCTCATCAGAGGAGACGTATACAAATGTAAACACTGCGCTATGCACCATCCCTATTAACAGTATCACTGAAACCAGTGAGTGCATATATACCACTGCGACAATAATCCTTGAAATACTTATTACGTATAAGATCTATAATGCATTTAAAGGAAGACACCTTTGAAGAAGAAGGCTTAGAATTAAAATAGAATGGAATAGAATAGCTTCTCCGCGAATTGGTACCTGCTGGTGCTGGAGGGGTTTGTGTGTCCCAGGGATCCCACGGGCTATGTTGTCTGGAGGCCTTTGCCGCTTGGTAGGGTCTCCCATGGCAAATTGGTTCTGGGTGAGGGACCAGACAAAGAGGGATTTAGAAGAGTAGAACATCAAGGAACAGTTCACTCTGCCCCGGATAGGGTGCCCCACCCTGGAGCCAGGCCTCATCTCATACGCAATGCCAGCCCATCCTTATTTAGGCAATCTCAAAGAAGTTCCTCCAGATGTAATGGTCTTCTGGCATGGCCTTTGGTCTATAGTTTACCTCACAGATTTTCACTGGGATTGATTTGAATTCAGTTAAATTCAACTCAATTTTATTTACACAGTTGGTCAGCGTTTTAGAACACCCCAATTTTTCCAGTTATTTACTACAATTCAAGTTGTTCTAGTCCAATAAATAGTTTAAAATGATACAAAGGTTAACTGCCACAGGTAAAAAAAACAACAACAAAAAAACAACAAGAACAACAAAAAAAACCCAACAACCCAAAAGGTAAGGTTACCCAAAAACTTTTTCACGGAACTCAAAATGGGTTAACAATTTAAAGCTGTTCTGCAACAATGGAGGTTGATCAAGCCTTGAAAGGCTTCGCCCCAAGTCCAGCACCCTGAGACTGCACACTAAGTGGAAAGGAGGCCAAGGACTAGTGAGTGTCAGAGCCATTATCACTATCCAGGGTGAAAAAACAAAATGCATGAGTACATCTGGAAGATGGCTGCAACTCATCGTGTGCTTAGTAAATGCCCTGGGCAACAGAAACCTGAGGAAGAACAGAAACTGCCCTGCACAGCATGCACTACCAATAGACAGGAAAGGTGGCTGATATAGAAAATTCTTACCAATGGTTGGAGAAGGTTGGACTGAAAGATGGCTCAGACGCATGACTCATGGCAGCAATGGGAACAAGCTCTAAGCACAAGATCTATAGAGACAGGATCCCCAGATGCAGGGTCAAAGATGACCCTGAAACAATCTGGCATATAAATATAGGGTGCAAGATTGTTTCAGACAGGGCATACAGGAACATCTGTGCTGAGTATGGCTGTGTAAAGGTGGTGAGAATGACAAAAGTAAGATCTTGTGAGACCAGATGCAGATGGAGAAACTAGTAGTTGACTAACCAACCAGACATAGCAGTGGTGGATAAGCAGAGGAAAAAGGCCGTAGTGATAGATACAAAGTGATAGCAACTAGGGCTGGGCCATATTATACTGTTCACAGTAATACCAGTACAATGTTAGGCAACGATAAGAAAATGAAGTATCGCAATGGAATATGGATAAAACGTGCATGCACAGTGCCTTTCTTTCCATACGCACATGGCCGAAAAAGAATAGCGGCAGCGGAGAATGAGAAGGGAGAAAGCGCATTGTTGAGTGAAACGGATGAGCCAGAATGGCTTTGTAAAAATGGTGCCACTTCAGTGGTGTAGAACTGGTTTGGTGTTTGTCCGTCAGATACCCACCAAAGCACTTTTTTTTTTTTTTTTTTTGGTAGAACATGCAAGCGGGCCGTCGTTATTGCCGTATTTGTTGGACTAAGGCGTTCGTAAATCTGGGAGTAATCTGGGTCCTAAACAGTGTTGCCAACTTAGCGACTTTGTCGCTATATTTAGCAAGTTTTCAGACCCCTTAGACCCGAAAGAGCTAAAAAAAGACGTGAAAGTGCGTATCGCTTTTACTGTCAACAAGCAGCGGGTGCTGCAACGCAGTCAGTTCTTCTTTTACTCTTTTACTCTTATGCTGTTTTGTGGATCACAAGGTTTAAAACTACTTATAAACACACACACACACAAAGTAACTCCACCAGAGTGCCTATTTCAGGTCACTTTTGCCGGTCCAAGCCCGGGTAAAGGAGCAGGGTTGGAATTGTGACATTAAAAAAAAAGAAAATTGCTAAAAGAAATTTAATTTGTAGTTCTAAATAAACTCTAAATGCATTTAGAACGTTTTTTACTCACTTTGTGTCTCTTCCACGATGTTATTTCTCTCTCCAACAACATAGGTTACAATTAGATTAGCATGACCAATTATGCAAATTAGGTGATGACGTCATTTAGCGACTTCTAGCGACTTTTAGGACAACCAATAGCGATTTTCCTTACTGAGGAGTTGGCAACACTGGTCCTAAACTCCATCCCTTTCAAGTCCCAAAGTCAAACAAACACTTCAGCATCACTGAGAGTTAAAAACTGTCTAAATTCTTTCATCTTTAATAAAACGATCAGCATTGCTGCTTTGCCAGGTGTAACTATGAAGTTTAACATCCAGGCATCCATGAAAACAGAATTTATTACATTTAACGGAGTTAGAAGTTAGCGGAAGTTAGCTCGCTACCTAAGCATGATATAGCATGTTCTGACTGAGAGATTGCTGAAAAAATTCAAATGTACAGCTCTGCTATCACTTCCAACATAAATGAAGACAGAAAACTAAACAGCAGTGACGTTTGTAAGGTTACTGAAGTTGGGCTAGGTGGTATATAATGATGTGCTGCGTGATCGCTAGCGACACAGCTATGTTAGCATAACATAAACAGTGAAGCTAGAGGATGAACGCTAACGCTTTTCCACTCGATAAAAGTTAACATGAAGGTTCCTGATGGTTAGAGACAAATGCAATCGCATGGCAGGATGCTGTAAACGGACCAAACTTCAGTTAGGAGAACAACTGAGATAATCCATCCACAATACAAGGTTAGTCATTAATATACTGCAACAACATGGGAATAGAGCAGCTGTGATAGAATACAGCATTAATGAATCAAAGGTACAGAAGTGGAGGAAACAAGAAGAATGAGTTGAATGAAGTTTGATTTATCTGACTGCTTTGTTTCGCTTAATGTGTCTTTTAATCCCGTGCACCTTATAGTCCGAAAAATACATATTTGATTTTTTTATTTGGCACACTGCAGTTTAATGTTGCAAAGCACCTCTTTTTAACTTCAGTGGATATTATACATGGTTATGCTCAGGATATGTCAGCCCATTTCTACTGGAAATGCCTTTTGGTTAAACTTTCAGCAAGGAATTTGCATTTGCACTGTTACATTTCTATATAGCTTTAATGCATCTAAAAAACGGCTGCTTGTTTAAGTGAAAATAAACGGATGGCATTTTTTTTTGTTGTGGAGTTGTATTTTGTCTCACATCAATTATATCGTCAGTTATATCGTTATCGCAAATTTTCAAAAATATATCGTGATAAATATTTTTGGCCATATCGCCCTGCTCTAATAGCAACTAGGGCTGGGCGATATGACCCAAAATTCATATCTCGATATTTTTTACCTGGACGGCGATATAAGATATATATCTCGATTTATTTTTTTTTAAGCCATAAAGTAAGAACAAAAAGAGAGTTCTTAGTCAAAGCTGTGTCCCAGATGTCACACAGGCACTTTTATTAACATAGAGCA